CCAAAAAATTGAAGAAAAGGGAATTCTTCCTAATTCATTCTATGAGGCCAGCATTACCCTGATACAAAACCAGACAAAAAAAAAGAAAACTGCAGGCCAGTATTGTTGATGAACATAAATGCAAAAATCCTCAACAAAATGCTAGCAAACTTAATCCAGCAACATATCAAAAAGATAATACCATGGTCCAATGGGATTTATCCCAGGGATGCAAGGTTGGTTTGACATACACAAATTAATAAACATGATATGTCATATCCAACAAAATGAAGGACAAAAACCATGTGACCTTTGTATTAGTCCATTTTCACTACTATAAATAATTACCTGAGGCTGGGTAATTTATAAAGGAAAGAGGTTTAAGTAACTCACAATTCCACATGGCTTGAGGAGGCCCATGGCAGAAGACAAAGGGGAAATAAGAGCCTTCTTCACATAGCAACAGGAGAGAGAAGTGAAAGCAGGGGAAATGCCAGACACTTATAAAACAGTCAAATCTCTACTCCAAGAATGTTATGAAAAGAAATTTTTTTTAAGGAAAAAAAAAAAAAGGTCAAATCTCATGAGAAGTCACTATCATGAGAACAACATGAGGAATCTGCTCGCATGATCCAATCACCTCCCTTCCTCAACACATGAGGATTACAGTCCCTCCCTCTATATGTGGGGATTACAATTCAAGATGAGATTCGGGTGGGGACATAGAGCCAAACTATATTAACCTTCTCAATAGATTCAGCAATTGCATTTGCTAAAATTAAACATCACTTCATGATAAAAACAAATTTGGCATAGAAGAAACATACCTCAATATAATAAAGGCCATATATGACAAACTCACAACTAACATTATACTGACGAGGGGGAAGCTTAAAGCACTTCTTCTAAGAACTGGAACCAAAGTTGCCCACTTTCACTTCTACTAATCAATGTATAATACTGAAAGTCCTAGCCAGAACAGTCAGGCAACAGAAATTTTAAAAAGACATCCAAATTGGAAAAGAGGAAGTTAAATTGTCCCTTTTTGCATATGACTCGATCTTACAGTTTAAAAACCTAAAGACTCCAGGAAAAAAAAAAAAAAAAAAAAAAAACTCTTAGAACTGATAATTAATTCAGTAAAGTTATAGGATACAAAAATCCATATTGAAAAGTCAGTGGTAAGGCCAAGCATAGTGGCTCACGCCTGTAATCCCAGCACTTTGGGACATCAAGGGGTTCATTCTTCTGAATGGCTGAGTTATTACTCATGATGTATAATAATTTATTCAATCATTTATCTGTAGATGAGCATTTACAATTTCCAGTTTCTTTTCTCCACCACTATGAACAATGCTGCAATAAACATCCTTGTATATATCCTTATATACCAACACTAATGGCTTTATTTTCATGGAATAGATTCCCAAGAGAAGAAGATATGTGGGGCGTATTTTAAAAAACTTTATTGTAAGTACATTTTAAAATCTTTATTGAAGTTTAACATTGTTTTATAATATAAAAGCTTTATTGAAGTTTAACATTCTTTTAGAACATAACATACAGAAAGATAAAAATCATAGGAATATAGCTTATTTTTCACAAACTGAATTGTCTTTGTGACTAGAACCCAGATCAAAAATAGAAAATTACCATAATCTCAGAAGTTCCTTTCATGCCACCTTCTAGTTACTAACTCCCTTGTAAACTGGGCATTGTGTGGACTTCTAAGACTCTATATTATAGATTTGCCTGTTTTTATAAAATGGAATTTTATAAAATTCCTACTTTATAAAATGGAATTTTTTTTTTTTTTTTTTTTTTTTTTTGTTTGAGACGGAGTTTCGCTCTTGTTGCCCAGGCTGGAGTGCAATGGCGCGATCTCGGCTCACCGCAACCTCCGCCTCCTGGGTTCAGGCAATTCTCCTGCCTCAGCCTCCTGAGTAGCTGGGATTACAGGCACACGCCACCATGCCCAGCTAATTTTTAGTATTTTTAGTAGAGACGGGGTTTCACCATGTTGACCAGGATGGTCTCGATCTCTTGACCTTGTGATCCACCCGCCTCGGCCTCCCAAAGTGCTGGGATTACAGGCTTGAGCCACCGCGCCCGGCCAAAATGGAATTTTTAATACTGTCAGATTGCTTTCCTAAGAACTTATAATACCTATTTTCTTTTTGTTTTTTAAATAATACCTATTTTCACCATCGAAGTGTGAGGTAAGATCTTTCTACCATATCTTAGACAAAAACATATCATTGCTTTTTCTTTTTTTTTGGTTTCATTGTTAAAATAATTTCCCTAACTACAAATTAATTTATTTTAAAAATGTGTTGGCTCTTTGGAGTTCCTCTTCTATTTCTATTATTTGTCCTTTTTTTTTTCCTTTTTTTGAGATGGGGTCTCGCTGTGTTGCCCAGGCTGGAGTACAGCAGCCCGATCTGAGCTCATTGTAACCTCCGCTTCCCAGGTTCAAGTGATTCTCCTGCCCCAACCTCCCAAGTAGCTGGGATTGCAGGTGCCCCACTACCACGCCCAGCTAATTTTTTATGTTTTTAGTACAGAGGGTTTCACCATGTTGGCCAGTCTGGTCATGAACTCCTGACCTCAGGTGATCCACCTGCCTTGGCCTCCCAAAGTGCTGGGATTACAGGCATGAGCCACCATGCCCAGCCCTATTTGTCCATTTTACAATTAGCTTGGCTTATCAGTTTGTCAGAGCCCTTTATATATATGTTGACAAAGATGTTCATTAGAGTCACTGATGTACTGATGATCATCTGAAAACTACCTAGGGGTATGTGTAGTTAAATTTGTATGGTTGAATACCAGAGTTAAAGGAACTGGAGATACGCATACCAACCTACATAAAAAACTTTGTTGACTGGGGGAAAAGCATGATGATGTAGGAAGGATACACAGAATGTGATCACATTTAAATTTTAAAATAATACTGTACTTTTTGATATCTACCTATATAGTAAAGTAATATAAACTTGCATGGGAACGATAAACATCAAATACACAATAGTGATTAGTTACACAAGGGAGGGAGAGGGGAACAGGGAGGGTATATGGGTATTCGGTTGCATTGGTAATGCTTTAGGTTTCAAACTGGGCAATAGGTACACCTAATTTAATACTCCAACTGTGTTATATTTTCTATTCTTTGTACGTCTGAAATATCTAAATAACTAAGACAAGTAATAGCCTCAGATTTTGAGATGAGGAAACTGAGGCTCAAGAACTTAACTTACTGTGTCAAACTTCAGAGCTAGGCTATACTGTTTCTACATTATTGTGCTGCTTCACAAAACAAAACAAATGTGGACTCATCATGTCAAAAGCAAAGCTATATTCCTAGGGTTTGGTCTCCATAAAGACAATCAAACTGTACTCCCAAGTGTTTGCTTAGGTACATAATAACCACTGCAAATCATGGATTTTGACCTGTAATAACTGCAGTTCAAAGCCCAATGCCTGAAAGTAGTTGCTTTGCTTTTGGACATGGCACAAAATATTTTTCTAGCAGATAAAATATGGCCATTAAAATAAGCCTTTTACTCAAGAAAAATGAAAACAAACCACAGCTCCCAAGTCTGTGAAAGCAAACCCAAATGTGAGTTTAACAAGCCTCAGAGAGTCCCTGTTAGTTTGTTTCCTGGTATTCCAGGGGCAGTGAAGCAAAACTAGGGGGCGGATTCAGAAAAGCAGGGAGGTTTTTTGGTAAAAATCTTTTATAAACTTAAATTTGTTTTTGTTTTTGTTTTGTAGAGACAGGGTTGCCCTATGTTGCTGAGGCTAGTCTTGAGCTAGTGGGCTCAAGCAGTCCTACTGTCTCAGCATCCCAAAGTGCTGGGATTAGAGGCATGAGCCACCGGCCCAACCTTGTAAATGTTTTTGTAAGGGTATTATGCTGAGCTTCCAGTGGTAAGACTTCAAAATAAAAGGTGCTCAAAGAAGGAAGGAGTCAAAGGCTTTTTAATACACCCACCCTGCCACCCTGCACGTTGCCTGCCGGGGTCCTGGCCTGCCCAAATCTTCCCTCACTGCTCTGCTGCCCTTCAGTTTCTCTTTTCTGCTGTTAGAACCTGGTTCTGCCCAGAATCTCTTGGAAATATGTTAATGGCAGGGAGACGGAAGTAAAGGGCATAAGTCTTAGTGTCAGAAAAACCTAGATTTGAATCGTGCGCCACTACTGAGCAACTCACTGAACCTGAGACAGTCTATCTAGACCAGTGCTGTCCAACGGAACTTGGTGTGGTGACAGAAATGTTCTATATCCACACTATCTGGTATGATAGCCACTAGCCACATGTGACTGTTGAGCACTTGAAGTGTGGCTAGTGTGACGGAGAAACTGAGTTTTTCATTATATTCCATTTTAATTAAATAGCCATGTAACTAATGACAACCATATTAAACAGAGCAAGTCAAAAAATGGAGAATGTCCCCTTACACAGATCACTACTGATCTTCTGTGTGAGGGGACATTCTCCATTTGTGAAATGCCTCAATACAGTCTACTATTAAACTATATGTTGCCTTGAAAGACTTTCAGAGTATTGAAATGACCAACGCTCAGGCATTTAGTATACTGACTTGGCTGGTCTTTGTGCATACGCCTGCACTGGCGGATTCAGTCACAGAAGCACTGACACTGGTGCCACATCCAGGCACAGATATGCAACTCTGACTTTTTAAACACTGCCTAAGGATGCACCTGATAATCTGGTGTCAAGTTTGCTTCTTTTCCTTTTCCTTTTTGTCCTCACCATGTTAATTAGACAAAACAACTACATTTTCAGAAACCCATATTTTAAATTAAATTATTGTGACACTATCTGAAGTGTCCTTAAGGTTTCCAAATAAAAAATGTTTCTCATTTTCTTCAGTTAAACTAATTGTATCACTGTGTACCAACTGCTTTACACTGGAGAAACAGGCTATCTGCACAGGTTAAAAACACATAAAGACTTAACCATACATATAAACACAAGTGGCATTCATTTTATTTTTACAGTATTTATTACAGTAAAGGTTACTTTTGTAAAACATTAGTGACTTTGGTCCATATCTTACTTTCCATTTGTCTTTAAAACATGTAACATTATTTGCATCATAAATTGTAATTTTTATGACTGTACCTAATTGTTTTTTTTCCTGACCCTTGGAATGTTACAGTTTCATGTAACTTTTTAAAAAATAAAAACATTGCAGACTAAATGTACTAATAAGTACATACTGAACACATTTAATTACCACAGTAATTAAAAAGTCCTGATCTTTACTTCTTAAGGTTAAAATTCATTAACTTGCAATCTCTGGGATTTCTCTATTATCCACAATGAGCGTATGAATAATCCCTTCTTTCCGCTTCCCACTACTGACAGCCTTTATGTAACAGTCGTGGTTCCCGATACTGAAGTGAGTTTCAGTCCCATCATCTACAAACTCACCCTGGATCAAAAAAAGAAGGAATTAGTGTTGCAGAAACATTCTCTTTGTCTAGAGCATAAACACCATCTAAAATGACCAGTGGTACAATAAAATAATGTATTAAACAATAAGCTTTGAAAAACCAAGTCTAAAGCTTGTACTTAGATACTTTTATATTTGTTATGAATTAAAAGTTTCCTTTTTATAATCCCTACAATCCTTAAAAATCTTAAATTCTGAGGGGGGCGTGGTAGCGGATATAAACCTCACGGCTATGTGTCTATAACATATGCTTTCAAAAATAAAAATGATAAACATTATATTTATTATTTATAATATACCACAAGTGATCTACCCACCTCAGCCTCCCGAAGTGCTGGGATTACAGGCATTAGCCACTGCACCCAGCCAGGGATGGGGTGTTCTTAACCACTCCAAAAATCTGATTCCTTAGGATATAAGGTGGCTTCCAATAAAATACACAGATAACAAAACCAAACACCACTAGATCTATACCTGTTCTGTTCAGTACAATAGCCACTGGCCACATGTGGCTATTGGGTACTTGAAACTGACTAGTCTCAAAGTAGGTATGCTGTTTAAACATAAAATAGACACTGGATTTAGAAGACCTAGTATGAAACAAAAAATATATATAAAATAATTTTTTACATTGATTACATGTTAAATAATTTCTTGATATATTGATTTAAATCAAATATATTAAAATTAACTTCACCTAAATTTTTTTTTCAAATGTGGATACTACAGAAGTTAAAATTACACATGAAGGTCATATCTGTGCCTCATATTATATTTTGATTGAGCAGCAGTGATCTAGAGTAAAAAGGTTAGAGCTAGGCAGCACAGGGAAGGAAAGAAAGAAGAGGCTTAGAGGATAAAAAATAATTTACTTCAGAAAGCAAAGAAACTGACAATCAGATTTAAACCCTGGTTATTAACTTCTTAGCAGCCTTAACAACACCAGGCCAAAGAAGGCACAGGATGCCTCAGGGAGAGAAGCCTTTTCCTAGCTCTGGGAAGAATGTCGCCATTGGCTCTTTAAGGGAGGTGTGCTGAATACCACAAGCATGTCCTTGGGTGCAGTTCCTGTCCCCATTTTTAACACTGAGCCTTGGAAAAAGACTTTGGAGGAAAGGTTAAGGGTTAGGTAATATAATCTATATAAGTGGCTTCTTGGCAATTGGACAAATATATAATTTTGGCATGATGCTTTCAGATAAAAGAAAAAGGGGAAAAGCTGTAACTCACAGGCAACAAGATGAGTTTGTTGTGGGTATGTACAGTACTGGGGAAGGCTGCCCACATACGGAGCTGCCGAAACTGCCCTGTAGGTTGTAGTAACAATGAGAAGGCAACTGGGTTATAAAGAACTATTTTCCAAACACATGTGGTTTCCTGTTAATTACTACAAAACAAAGACGTGAGGGGCCGGGTGCGGTGGCTCACGCCTGTAATCCCAGCACTTTGGGAGGCCGAGGCGGGTGGATCACGAGGTCAAGAGATCGAGACCATCCTGGTCAACATGGTCAACATGGTGAAACCCCGTCTCTACTAAAAATACTAAAAATTAGCTAGGCATGGTGGCGTGTGCCTGTAATCCCAGCTACTCAGGAGGCTGAGGCAGGAGAATTGCCTGAACCCAGGAGGTGGAGGTTGCAGTGAGCCAAGATCGCGCCATTGCACTCCAGCCTGGGTAACAAGAGCGAAACTCCGTCTCAAAAAAAAAAAAAAAAAAAAAAAAAAACCAGAGACGTGGATGAACATTGTTTTCACCTTCTTACAACCACAACATTCTTTGTGTGTGTGACAAGGTCTTACTCTTGTCACCCAGGCTGGAGTACAGGGGTTCAATTGCAGTTCATTGCAGCCTTGAACTCCTGGACTCAAGCAACCCTCTTGCCTCAGCCTCCTGAGCAACTGGAATCAGGCACATACCACCATACCCAGCTAACTTAAAAAAAATAACTTATAGCTGGGTGCGGTGGCTCACACCTGTAATCCCAGCACTTTGGGAGGCTGGGGCGGGTGGATCATGAGGTCAAGAGATCAAGACCATCCTGGTCAACATGGTGAAACCCCGTCTCTACTAAAAATACAAACAATTAGCTGGGCATGGTGGTGAATGCCTGTAATCCCAGCTACTCAGGAGGCTGAGGCAGGAGAATTGCCTGAACCCAAGAGGCGGTGGTTGTGGTGAACTGAGATCGTGCCATTGCTCTCTAGCCTGGGTAACAAGAGCGAAACTCTGTCTCAAAAAATAATAATAATAATAATAATTTATAGAGATAGGGTCTTGCCGTGTTGCCCAGAGTGGTCAGGAGCTCCTGGCCTCAAGTGATCCTCCTATCTCAGCCTCCCAAAGTTACAACTGTGGTTTTTTTGTTTGTTTGTTTGTTTGTTTTGGAGACAGGGTCTCGCATTCTGTTAACGAGGCTGGAGTGCACTGGTGCAGCCTTGGCTCACTGCAGACTCAACCTCCCTGGGCTCAAGTAATCCTCCCACCTCAGCCTCCCACGTAGCTGGGACTACAGGCATGTGCCACCATATTCTGCTAATTTTTGTATTTTTAGTAGAGGGGAGTTTTGTCATGTTGCCTAGACTAGTCTCAAACTCCTAGGTTCAAGCAATCTACCTGCCTTAGCCTCCCAAAGTGCTGGGATTACATACAGGAGTCACCACACCCAGTACAACCACATTCTTAATACCGTAAAACAGCATTCTCCATCTAGAGAATTCCAGGGTAGGAAAGAAAGAACAGGAAGAACCACTAGGTATGGCATTAGACACAGTAGGTATCTGATCCATGTTAGTGGTAACTGGAGTTTTTCCAAAAGGGGCCACAAAATGCTGAAGTGCTCTCCAAGCCTCTGCACAAAATGAGTCTCTAGCAGTAGATTTAACCCAGACAGCAGCTCAAGCACTCAATTTTGAGTGAGCCCAAATTAAATTATCCAGGACTCAGAAACAGAAAAGCACTCATCTTTGTAACTTTTAAATTTTAATTAATGTATTAATTTTTTTAGAGATGGTGTCTCACTATGTTGCTCAGGCTGGCCTAAAACTCCTAGGCTCAGGTGTTCCTCTCACTTCAGCCTCTCAAGTAAGAGGCAACTACAGACCTGTGCTACCACATGTGGCTTTATCTTTGTAATTTTTGATTTCTGGCTTTGTCACCTCTTCAGAAACAGCTATCAGACCAAGGAGGTTCTAGGTGGTCTTCTGAATACATGAATCCCAGACCTCCTTTCCTCCAACTACTAAAAGCACCTTTCTCACTGTCTTATACCTATACTATACAAATGAGATAAAAGCAACTACAACATGCAAAATGTGACTGGAGAAGAGAGCTTCCCATTGTCTCCAGCTCTGATGTTCACATCTGGAGCCAGCATGAAAGGTGGGTGCCAGGTGATAGCACTCCCCACTTGTCCTGCAGACCCCATAAGACATGGGGATTAGCATCCAGTGATTTCAGCTCCTAGTCCCATACTTTCTGCTTCCCACTCTCTCCTGTGTGCACACTATTACTGTTTCCTTCCTGCTTGAAATTCACTCCTCCATTCACCCCATCCACAGCCATACTAATACAACCACCTGACAGTAAAAGCTGAACACACTGGAGTCTACATGGGGATTTCAGTGTGCCTGGCCACAGTGACTGGGGTAGCCTCTTTCTCCCTGCTTTGGCACTGCTGGTCTAAAGTTCCACTTGTCCTCTGGGTTCGTGAGAATGCCCTTTCCTGTCTGAGTACCTTCACGTCATCTGATACTGTATCACTCATTTTACAAAAATCTTGCTTTCAGAAAAGAACCATCTGCTTTGACTGTATGGTATAAAGCATTCCTAAAGTGTGATCTGTGGACTAGTAGCATTAGCAGAATCTAGGGAAATGTGAGAATTAGCATTTTAACAAGATCCCAGGCAATTTCTGTGCGTGAAAGTTTGAGAAGCAGTGGTATATAATGCACCACTTAAAATGGTTAAACACCAGAGAACACCAGCCTTTGGGGATATAATTTTTTAACTAGGGGCTCTTTTGAGGATAGAGCCTGGTCCAGGACAGGAAAGAAGAGTATGAAGTTTGTGCCAGCTAAGAACATCAATTGTTTCCAAACTCACGGCACCAGGCACTATCTGGCAAAGGTTTTTGGAATCTGGAGTAATGAGTACTTAACCCCTTTTTTGTTTTTATCAAGAGGACTTTGGTTCATTATAAAATCTCTGTAATTAGGAAATGCAGCAACAATTCAATGGTAACGTAGACAGATGGCACTTAAAGTAATCAGACAGTCAACTTACTGCTGTCTCCATTTTTTTACCATTGCACCATACGTCCATAGTGTCTTTTTCTGTAAAAATAAAATAAAAATTTTTTAAGTTATTCTGTGATTTAAAGATAAAGTTAACTTTTCCTATTTATTATTTTAGGAAAGGTTTGATATGCCAGATCTCTAAAATTCCATTAATATTCCAAAACCCATCACTTTTTCATGGCTTTCATGGCTTTGAGACTCTGGTAAAATTTGAAGAAGCTGTGTTTGTTCTTTGTTCATAAAACTGTAATGAAACAAAATGACCTTTTAAGAAAGTTATGGTCCCAATACAAATTGATTAAGTTTTGGATCTTTCAAACGGGAGGGCAACACTCCCAAGAATATTGTTGTTAAGAATGAAAAGAAGGGTGGTCACAGCTGCTTACGCCTATAATCCCAGCACTCTTGGATGCTGAGGCAAAAGGATCATTTGAACCCAGGAGTTCAAGACCAGCCTGGGCAATATGGTGAGACCTTGACTCTTTAAAAAAAAAAATTATTTATTTTTTTGAGAGGAAATCTTGCTCTGTCACCCAGGCTGGAGTGTAATGGCATAATCTCAGCTCACTGCAAGCTCTACCTCCCGGGTTCAAGCGATTCCCGTTACAGCCTCCCAAGTAGCTGGGACTATAGGCTTGTGCCACTACACTCAGCTAATTTTTGTATTTTTAGTATAGACAGGGTTTCACTATGTTGGCCAAACTGGCCTCAAACTCCTGACCTCAGGTGATCCACCCACCTTGGCCTCCCAAAGTGCTGAAATTACAGACATGAGTCACCACGCCTGGCAATGTTACATGTTTGTTTGTTTTATTTCGATTTATTTACCATTATATGATCACGGCAGTTAAATGTTTTTAAAACCTAAATTTATGATTCTCAAATCCATCCCTATAAAACTTGGCTTAAGATATCTTATATATAAAATGGTGGATTGAATGAATGTGTCATTCACACAGGACACATTAGAAATACACCTGCTAGACAATATACACACCTGCTAGACAATCCCAAGCAGACGGGAAACAAAAAGATTTTTTAAAAATGTTTTTAAACAAATGAAATACACCTGCCTGTACACTCTGTCTCCTTTTCAAAGCTCCATAGAAGGTCTGAATCATTACAGGAATTAAACAGACATTATCTTCTTAAAAAAAAAAAAAACAATGAGTTCTGCAGAAACAGCACTAACTTACCCAGAACAACTCTAAAGTTCTCACCATCCATGTGTAATACCCAAGTATTGGTGGTTTTTGATCTGTTCTCCATATACTTCTTGAGACTTCTCCCATTAATTTCCAGAGTATATTCATAAGCAAAACCACTGATAGCATCTATATTTATGGTTGCTTTTGTCTTTGCAGCTCCAACATAGAATGTCTCTTTGCCCACTAATTTGAACATCCATTCTTTTCTTATCTCTTCCTACATAATAAAATAGAAAAATTTGAGACGTTCAAATAGAAGACACATTAATGTTTAATTTTAGAAATAATGTAAAGTGAACAAAGGCAATGCCATTTAGATATAATTTTATTTATGATGCTGAGGTTTTAGAAAATAAAAGCATTTTAAGTTTAAATACTACATGCTCTATTCCATGAATTCCATAACTATTATTAGTTTGCTTTACACAGAAAAATGACATGGATCAAAAACATAATGACTATAAGAAAAAAAAAAGCCCTGAATTCACATATGAAGATGTTACTTTGACAAAATCTGGTTTCTCTATATATCATATTTTACAAAGTAACATATTTTCTTCCTACCTTCCCATCTACATATACTACTCGTTTGCCTGATGTAGTCCCATGTTCAAATTCAATCTTGTGGACTCCGTCACTTAAAGCAACATCCCAAACAGCTACGAGATCTGTCATTTTTTCAAGGCTGTAAGGAGGGCTAAAGGAATAAAATAAACCAATTATAGTGGGCCAAAATACTAATTAAATAACCAGTTAATCCAAGATGAAAATATTAGATTATTAAAACCTCTAAAATTTCAAAATATTAAAGTGATAGTACCTAAGAAATTCTACTCACAGTACATGCAACTATTTTCTCCCTCTTATTCACTCTTCCTTTAAGATACAACTACTATATGTGGGCACATAGTCCGATTACGTCTAAAAAATCCATCTTAATAGGATTAAGAATCCATCAGTTGATCCTGGTTAGTATTCTAGGTTGACTACACTATAGTGCATGGAAAGGTCAGTAAAAAGTCTTTACTCTTCTCCCACCAGCTCCCATTTAAAAACCATGATATTTAATTTTGTTTATCTTTTTCAGGTCTAATCACTCAAAAACCAGAACTCTCCAAACCTCCCATACTTAAACTAATACAAGGGATTTGTTTTAACAAAAAGGTTTTAATTTATTATACTAAGAAAAAAAGTCATGGAAGAAATATTCTGTAATAAAGATAAAAATAATTTTAAAATGTTATGGGAAACATTCTTGGCATTAATACAGGAAATCTTATTTTAAAAAATAAAGGATTTGGGGCCGGATGTGGTGGCTCATGCCTGTAATCCCAGCACTTTGGGAGACTAAGGCGGGCAGATAATTTGAGCCCAGGAGTTCCAGACCAGCCTGGACAACACGGTGAAACCCTGTTTCTACAAAAATATTAGCCACACGTAATGGTGCATGCCTGGAATCACAGATACTTGGGAAGCTGAGGTGGGAGGATCACCTGAGCCCAGGAGGTTGAGATTACAGTAAGCCATGATTGCACCACCATGTTCCAGCCCAGATGAAAGAGTGAGACTATCAAAAAAAATATAGGATTTGGTTTGTCTGACATTTCTGGCATATACTTCAACATATATTTTTGATGTTAATATATCCTATATGAATGACATATACATATATAATATCTAATTAATATTTTGATATTCGTGATCTTTTTGGCTTTGACAGAAGTATCATTACAGTAATAATGATCACAGATAACAGCTATTAAGTGATTACTGTGTGACAGTCACTGTTCTAAGAGCTTTAAATATATTAACTTACAGAATCACCATGAGATGGGTACTATTAGTATCCTTATTTTATAGATGAGGCTCAGAGAGGCTAACGGTTTACCTTAGGTTACAATGACATTAAGTGGCAAAGGTAGGATTTAAACCTAGGATTCTGGCTCCAAAGCCTGTTCTCTTAACTACATCTTCCTCTTTGTTCACCCTAATCTCCTTTGTATGCTCAAAATTGAAGATGTTAAATGGATTTGATACCATTCTGAAGTGGTTGCCAAGAACTCAGCGCTGAGAGATATGAGGAGACCTCACATCAAGGCTCTACGGAAAGATTTGCCATGTTACTGGTGGCTACCTCCGCGCCAGGTATTTACTACTCCTGCTCTAAATCACACAAAAGCAGAACCGCACAATCTGCAATTTTACAAAATGTATTCTTAACAGAGTAACTTGGATAAATTGCTCCTTTGAATGATAACAGTCTTGAAAATGTCAAAGGCTAGTTTACTGCAATATAAGACATTTACCTTTCATCATCTTCAAAGATAGGACTGTCATCTCCAGATGCCATGGTTGGCAAAAACAGTCTTTAATCCAATTAGCAGCCAGAAAAGAAAAAAAGCAGAATTGCAGCAAAGAAAGATTGAAAGCAACAATGATGACATCTACAAAGGGTTTTTCTAATTTTGCAATCCATTTATTAAATTACATGGAGTTTCTGATGAAACAGCTTCTACATACAATAGAACTGTAATCTTTACAGAGAAAGATGTTAAATCATGCAAATCAGTCATATTTTTCCCTGTTATGGATTTATAATTTCTTAAAGGTATACTTTATTAAAACTAAAAAACAAACTCTAGTTGATTGCAAGTATTATAGCATATCAGAGCTGCAAGATTCCTAAGAGATCCTCTGCGTACCATGCTTCTCAAACTGAAGCACAAGAAGCCCCAAGGGTATGAGGCAGTGAGTCAGGGAATACATCAAACTCCAGAATAAACACAATACACCTTCTGGGAGCATCAGTGTTAAAGTGGTAACTAATTTAAAATGTAATCTTTAATTTAGAAGGCTACACTATGGTGGAACGTAATTTTTAAAATATTTGTTGGTTTAGATAACTTAAAAGAACTGATGAGTTTGCAAGAAGCAGACAGGGATATGCTGGTCTGCTCTCAAAGAGTGAACTTAATTTATCCATTACTTAAGCCCATTTAATTTACTAGTGCCAGTGATGAATCCACAAAAGTTATGTGGCTTGCTCACATCACTAGCAGGATCCAAGCCAGAACTAGAGCCCAGTACTACGCAATGAACTCAACAGTAACTGGGCTGCAGTGTTAATTAAGCTTTACTAAAATCAGAGTGGCAACATAGGGAGACCCCCATCTCTACAAAAAAGTTAAACTAGCGAGGCATGGTAGTGCATGCCTGTAGTCCCAGCTATTTCAGAGGCTGAGGTGGGAGGACCATTTAAGCCGGAGAGGTCAAGGCTGCAGTGAGCTGTGATTGCACCACTGCACTCCAGCCTTGGCAACAGAATGAGACCCTGTCTCAAACAAACTAAAATTTTTGTGCATCATGGACATTATCTAGAAAGTGAAAAGACAAGGATGAGAGAAAATATTTGGAAATCATATATCTGATAGAAGTTTCATATTCTGAATATATAAAGAACTCTACTACTCAAAAACACAAAAGACAACCGAATTTAAAAATAGGCAAAGGGGCCAGTTACAGTGGCTCACGCCTGTAATCCCAGCACTTTGGGAGGCCAATGCAGGTGGATCACCTGAGGTCAGGAGTTCAAGACCAGCCTGGCCAACATGGTGAAACCCCGTCTCTACTAAAAATACAAAAATTTAGCTGGGCTTGGTGGCAGGTGCCTGTAATCCCAGCTAGCTGCTTGGAAGGCTGAGGCAGGAGAATCGCTTGCACCTGGGAGGCAGAGGTTACAGTGAGCCAAGATTGCACCATTGCACTCCAGCCTGGGCAATGACAAAACTTCATTCCCCCACAACCCCAAAACATGGGCAAAAAACTTCAACAGACATTATTCCAAAGAAGACATACAAATGGCCAATAAGCATATGAAAAGATGCTAAACAACATTAATCATGGGAGAAATGCAAATCAAAACCACAATGAAATACAACTTCATATCTACTAGGATGGCCATGCTAAAAATAAACAGAAAATAATGAGTGCTGGCAAGGATGTGGAAAAATTGGAACCTTGTACACTGCTAGTGGGGCTGTGAAATGGTGATGTTGTCAAACAAAAAGATACGACAGTTCCTCAAAACCTAAACAGAGAAGTATTAGATGACCCAGCAATTCCACTACTAGGTTTACACCCAAAAGTTTTGAAATCAGCCACTCAGAAACGTGTATACTATTGTTCCTTGTAGCATTTTCTAATAGCCAAAAGATGAAAACAACCCAAGTTGTCTGTCAACATAAGCATAAACAAAATGTATATACACTTGATCTTAGCCAAAAGGCCGAGAAGCGGTAAAATGCATACACACACACACACACACACACAGGACATTCCTTTTTATTCAGTCAAAAAAAGGAGTGATATTCTGACATATGCTATGGCATGAACTCTGAAAACTTTCTGCTAAGTGAAATAGCCAGAAAAAAAATGGGAAGTATAATATGATTCCACTTATGTGAAATACCCAGAATAGGGAAATTCAGAGAGACAGAAAGCAGATTAGACATTCCCAGGGAATGGGGGAAGGGAACAAGGAGAAGTCTCAGTCTCTTTTGTGTTGCTGTAAAGGAATACCCAAGACTGTGTAATTTATAAAGAAAAAAGGTTTATTTAGCTCATCATTCTGATGTCTGGAGAAGCTCAAGATTGGGCATCTGAATTTGGTGAGCGTTCCAAGTTGCTTCTGCTAATGGCAGAAGCAAAGGGGAGCTGGCTGTATAGAGGGCATGTGACCAGAGAGAAAGCAAGAGAGAGGTGGGAGGTACAAGGCTCTTTTTATTAAACAGCTCTAGTGAAAACTGACAGAGCAAGAACCCGTTTACCTCCAAGGGAGGACATCAATGTATTCATGAGGGATCCGTCCCCATAACCCAAACACCTCCCATTAGGCCCCCCTTCCCAGTACTACCGCACTGGGGATTAAAATTCAACAGGAGATTTGAAAGGACAAATACCCAAACCATAGCAGGGAGTCATTGCTGAATGGTTCCTGTGTTTCTGTTTAAGGTACTGAGAAAGTTTGGCAAATACATACAATGGTCACACAATATTGTGAATGTACTTAATGGCCCTGAATTGTACACTAAAAAATTGTTAAAATGGCAAATCTATGTTGTATATATTTTACCATTTTAAAAAGTTAACAATATATATAAAAAAAATTGTATACTTTAAATGGGTGAATTACATGGTATGTGAGTTATATTTCAATAAAGCTGTTAAAAAACAAAAAAAAGGGAAAAGAAAATAAAAGGCAGATGTTCTGCCTGTAGTGCTTCTTGGGATGCAGTTGCACCTGTAACCAAAAGAGGATCACAAATGTCCTTGTCCCTAATTTCTACTTCACTCAGAAATATCTGTCATGTAGATCTCTAAGTTACAAATTCAATTTGATAAACACATGTCATATTCTAAGTTCACCCAGCATACCAATAGTTGCTGGGTACTTATGTATCAGGCTCTGGGTAGGGCACTAACCTCAGAGTGGGGGAGTCTGGAGAGACCGAGAAATGATTATAGTACAACAATGGGAGTGACCTTATAAAGGGAAGCAGCATAGGACAGAATGGGCCCACAGAAGAAGGGTCCTAGCTCTGCCAAAGAAGGCTTTGGTTTAAAACTTTGGAGAAAGTGGCCAGGGGCGGTGGCTCATACCTGTAAACCCAGCACTTTGGGAGGTCAGGAGTTTGAGACCATCCTGGACAAAATGGTGAAACCCCATCTCTGCTAAAAGTACAAAAATTAGCCGGGCGTGGGGGTGGGTACATGTAATCCCAGCTACTCAGGAGGCTGAGGCAGAAGTGCTTGAACCGTGGAGGCGGAGGTTGCAGTGAGCCAAAATTGTGCCACTGCACTCCAGCCTGGGCAACAAGAGCAAGACTCAGTCTCAAAATAAATAAATAAATAATTTAATTAATTAAAAAAAAAAAAAGGGCAGGACGAGGTGGCTCATGCCTGTAATCCCAGCACTTTGGGAAGCTGAGGTAGGCGGATCACGAGGTCAGGAGTTCAAGACCCACCTGACCAACATAGTGAAACCCCGTCTCTACTAAAAATATAAAAATTAGCTGAGTCCTGGTGGCTCGCGTCTATAATCCCAGCTACTCAGGAGGCTGAGGCAGGAGAACTGCTTGAACCTGGGAGGAGGAGGTTGTAGTGAGCTGGGATCACACCATTGCACTCCAGCCTGGGCCACAGAGCGAGACTCTCTCAAATAAATAAATAAATAAATAAATAAAACTTGGGAGAGATCCACTGTCGTTTTTTTTTGTTTGTTTTTTTTTTTTTTTTGAGATGGAGTTTCGCTCTTGTTACCCAGGCTGGAGTGCAATGGCGCGATCTCGGCTCACCGCAACCTCCGCTTCCTGGGTTCAGGCAATTCTCCTGCCTCAGCCTCCTGAGTAGCTGGGATTACAGGCACGCACCACCATGCCCAGCTAATTTTTTGTATTTTTAGTAGAGACGGGGTTTCACCATGTTGACCAGGTTGGTCTTGATCTCTCGACCTTGTGATCCACCCGCCTCGGCCTCCCAAAGTGCTGGGATTACAGGCTTGAGCCACCGCGCCCGGCCCCACTGTCGTTTTTAAACTCTTATGCATATACTTTTCAAGATTATATGACCAAACTGGAAAATGATATCAAAAAAACCCTCTATTTTTGCAAAAATTTTATTAATAAAACATAAATTAAAAAGATGGAAAGCCATATTCCATTTATTTTCACTGATGGAGATGACGCCAAGCACTTGAAACTTTTTACATATCTTCAAAGAAAGCTTTTTGGATATCTCATCCTTACCCATCAATCTTTTAAATAAAAGCCCTTCCCTAGCAACCCAACACCGAAGTTTCAGAGCATGACTTAAAACACCAACATGATTCCACCGTTCATCTAATCCCACCTGAATTTTGTCTTAACTTAGATTTAACCTTACTGGGGACTGAAATGATTTGTTTGAGATAAACCGAAGCCAGTTTAAAAATTACTCAGATAATAATAGTAACTAAGAGGTGCATAGTTCCCTTTTCAGCAAAAGCCCTAAGTACAACCAGCCAATAAGGCGAGTCACTCTTTCAAGTGTTGACATCTTCATCTCCAGCCCCGCCCCTTATGAAGTGAGGAGGGTTTCCACCAAAGTCAGTCAGGAAGCTCCTCAAGCCATTCCCAAATGCTACTTACTGGAGGTATAAAAATGATAGTAACTTTTCTCAGGGCCATTTCACAATCTTATACCAGAAGCCATATGGTATAGTTTATGGAGTCTATCTTGTTTTAGAATGAATCTTGTGGGATTCATTCTACACAAATGATCATGCTCAAAAACCCAGAGGTAACGGTGCTCAATGAATTACTTTTTGCAATAACTAAAAACTGAAAACCACCTGTACCCTCATCAGAGAGAAACATTAAGTAAATCACAGTCCAGTCAAAGCCCATGCCAGAAGCCAGGGATGGATGCCGTAGTCAACCTGGCACACAGGAATGTGCAGTCTAGTGTGGCCAATAAAAAGGACATAGAAAAACACTTAAAGCCACGGGTAAATACATGTGATGTATTATTAAGAGAAAGAGCCCGAAGGTTCAGGCTGCAACAGTGAGCCAAGATCTTGCCACTGCATTCCAGCCTGGGCGACAGAGCGAGACCCTGTCTCAAAGGGGGGGGGGGGAGAGAGAGAGAGAGAGAGAGAGAGCGAGAGCGAGAGCGAGAGCGAGAGAGAGAGAGAGAGAGAAAGAGAGCGCGAGAGCATGTTTCTGCACTTTATGATGCAGGTTCTGCAAAAATAAGCCCTGATCAAATTACAAGGAAAACCCATCTGGAAGAAAATACAACTTCATGTTAACCCGGCTTGTCTCTGGGGAGCAGGAGCATGGCTGCTTTGCTTGTTTCCTTGTTGCTTTCTGTTCCACGTTTTCGACAGCGACAAGTACATGTCTAAAGTTAGCTAACAGGCTGTAGGCGGGTGCGGCGGGTTGCGGGGCTGGGCCTGGCCAAGCAAGGAGGCTCTCGCACCGCCCTGGGCTGGCCCCGCGCCCCGCCGCACTCTCACCTCTGCCCGCGCTCAGCGGGAGCCGAGTCCTGCCCCGAGGCCTGGGATCACCGACGGGCCAGCTGGAAGCGTCCGGAACTCACCCGCGCCTCACCCGCCTGGGTCCCACCGACCGCGCAGACACCGCCCGCCGCCGCCGCCCAGAGATGGCCGCCGCCGGCGCAGCGGGGCCGAGGGCGCGGGGACGCCGGGCGCTGCGCGCAGGGGCTTCCGGGGTGCGGAGCCGGCGGGCCCGGGGCGTCCAGGTGGGCGCAGGCGCGACCCCGACCCCACCCGGGCTGCTGCCTCACCTGTGCGCCGTGGGCCGCGGGAGGCTCTGGGGGCGGTCGCACCACACTACCGGTTGATTACGACTCGGCTACGTAGGCCGCATGGCCCTGCTCTCCTCGCCGAGAAACCGGGGCAGCCGGCGCGGAGGCTGAAAGCTCTGCAGGCGCGCCTACCAAACGCGCCGACTGTTCGTCGCGCCTCAGGTCCCTGGAGGCTCCCAGCGCAGGAGGCCACCCCTCCCCCGCCACGGACGCCACCCCGGTCCGCAGCCTTAGCCCAAGGCTGCACCTTCGGCGCACAGGCCTTCCTCAGCCTCCATCCAGGACATCACCAAGTCCTGACTGCGTCCAGTCTTCCCGCCAGCAAGGAAAGAAGGGTAGGAGCCAGCCGCAGGCCCCGCGCTGGGATAGACTAGGCGACAACCTGGCGGGCCAAAACAGCCCTGTGCCTGCTCTGCAGCTATGGGGAAGGGAAACCTGGTCACGGCAACTATGGCATTCGCTCCTTAAAACCTCTTAATGGAGTCTCATTCCTTCTTTAAAGACCCAAACTACTGAAGATGGGCAGGAAGCTCCCATGTGTGATCTAGCCCCTGCCTGCTTGGCTTCATTTATGCCCTTAATGGGTGCAAGTTTCTTCTCACCCAGGGCCTCGGCAAATGCTCTTCCCTCTGCTTGGACCCTCCTCACCTCTTCCCTGCTGTGAGTGTTCGTATATCATTTCTTAGGTTACAATATCCTGGCCCCACAAGACTTGCAGCATTGCTGGGTGTGGTGGCTCATGCCTATAATCACGGCATTTTGGGAGGCAGATGGGAGGATCGCTTGAGCCCAGGAGTTCAAGACCAGCCTGGGCAACATGGTAAGACCCCATCTCTACAGGAAAAAGAGAAAGAGAGAGAGGGAGAGAGAGAGAGAAGGAAAGAAAAAAAAAATTAGCCAGGCATGGTGACTCAGGCTTGTGATCCTAGCTACTTGGGACCCTTACGTGGGAGAGTCGCTTGGCCCAGGAAGGAAGGTGGAGGCTGCAGTGAGCTGTGATTGCACTACTACACTCCAGCCTGGGCAAAGAGTGAGACCTGGTTTCATTTAAAACAGAACAACAACAACAACAACAAAAAACACACAAGAAACAGCCGGGCTCAGTGGCTCACACCTGTAATCCCAGCACTTTGGGAGGCCAAGGCAGTCGCATCACCTGAGGTCAGGAGTTTGAGACCAGCCTGGCCAACATGGTGAAAACCCATCTCTACTAAAAATACAAAAATTACACATGGTAGTGTGTCTGTAATTCCAGCTACTCAGGAGGCTGAGGCAGGAGAATCACTTGACCTTGAGAGGCGGAGGTTGCGGTGAGTGGAGATTGCCTCACTGCACTCCAGGCTGGGCAACAGAGCGAGACTTCATCTCAAAAACAAAAACAGAAAACACACAGAGACTTGGCAGCATCAGGGCTTCTTCCTAGCCTCTTTCAGGGTGTGTAATAACTTGTGTAATGTTTGCTTAATGTGTAACATAGCAGTAGACTGAAATCCATGAAGGCAGAGACCATGGCCCCTTGGATCTCATTCTTGTAATTCTCACATCTGCACCGTGCAGGCCCATATTAACTTTGGTAAATATTTATTGAATGAATGAATAATGAAGAGCAGGCCTGGGTAGTGTCTTTGGTGGCCTTGATTTTCATTTTCAGAAGGAGACAGTGTTGCCTACAGAGAGCAAGCAAAGTTGTCGAGTGGTCCCTGTGAAGTGTAGGCCCAACCATAGAATAGAAACAAGTGAAGAGATTCTGGAAGGCTCTGAGAGCCCAGTATATTTGGGGGCTGCTATGGTTTGAATGCTGGTATCTCCCCAAAATTCATATGTTGAAACCTAACTCCCAACACATTCATATTAAAAGAATGGGTCCTATGTTTGGGAAATTAGTGCCCTTGTGAAAGAGGCTTGAGGGAGCCTCTTCGACCTTTCTGCCATGTGAGGATGTACTGAGAAGACACCATCTTTGAAGCACAGAACAAGCCCTCAGCAGACTATGACTCAGCTGGAGCCTTGATCTTGGATGTCCCAATCTCCAGAACTGTGAGCAATACATTTCTGCTGTTTATAAATTACCCAGTCTAAGTTGTTTTTTTCTTTTTCTTTCTTTTTTTTTTTTTTTTTTTGAGACAGGGTTTTAGTCCAGGCTGGAGTGCAGTGGCATGATCACAGCTCACTAAAGCCATGATCTATGTCTTAGGACTCAAGTGATCCTCCTACCTTAGCCTCTCAAGGAGCTGGGACAATAGGTGCATACCACCACACCTAGCTAATATTTTACATTTTTTTTTTGTAGAGAGAGGATCCCACTATGTTGCCCAGACTGGTCTCAAATTCCTGGGCTCAGTTCTCCCACCTTGGCCTCCCAAAGTGCTGGGATTATAGGCATGAGCAACTGCACCCAGCCTATTTTCTTCTTCTTCTTCTTCCTTTTTTTTTTTTTGAGACAGAGTCCACCCAGGCTGGAGCCTTGGGGAGATATTTTCTGGAGCTTCTGAAAAAGAGAATGCTTCCTCTTTTCCTTAGGATTCCCAGTAGAGGAACATGAACCCAGGGAGGGTTTTTGAGTTAAAGTCTCACTTGGTTGGCTCACTGCAACCAGTTTCCCGGGTTCAAGCAATTCTCCTGCCTCAGCCTCCTGAGTAGCTGGAACTACAGGTACGTACAACCACACCCAGCTAATTTTTGTATTTTTAGTACAGATGGGGTTTTGTTATGTTGCTGGGCTGGTCTCAAACTCCCGACCTCAGGTGATCCACCCACCTTGGCCTCCCAAAGTGCTGGGATTATAGGTGTGAGCCACTGCACCCGGCCTTTTCAAGTATTTTGTTATAGCAGCCAAAATGGACTAAGATAGGGACATTCAGGCCATATTGTATAATTTCTTCTGCTTCTTTATGTTAATGTAAAAAAAGACTGCTTCACCTTTGGGATTTGTAGGGTAGATGCAGTTTCTAGATGATAAGCAAGTATGTGAGAGAAAGTAGTTAAGAGACAGTAGGGAATAACCTATTGATGAGGTTAACCAGTTTGCAAAGTGATAAAGACTGATTACTAAGCAAATTATGATACAGGAATTCTGCTTAGTGAGCACTGCTTTCTTGTTTGCTACCCTGTACTGAAAGCTCCCTGAAGACAAATATTTCATATTTGTATTTTCTTCTACATCAGTGTTTTTTCTCTCTCTCTCTCTCTTTTTTTTTTTTTTTTTTTTTTTTTTTTTTTTTGTTTGTTTGTTTTTGAGACCTGGGTTTCATTCTGTCCCCCAGGCTGGAGTGCAGTGGCTTGATCATAACTCACTGCAGCCTCGAACTCCTGGCCTCATGCAATCCTCCTGCCTCAGCCTCCCAAGTTGTTGGTATTGTAGACATGAACCACATCCCCCAGCTGCTGCAGCAGTATTTTTGAACAGAGAGTTTACAGCAAATCATTGTTGAAATAATGAACTGGGGGGAAAGGTAAAAGGCTCCAGAGTGGAAATTCCCAGAGATAAGAAACAGCTAGCTGATTCTCCTAGTCCTTATTTCTTCTGAGAACTACTCCTGAGTTGCTGGGCTAGAACCAGGAGACCCTTGTTGGGGAGCAGCTCAAAGACATTATTTAATGAAGGATATTTTCTTATAAAACTTGAGGAATCTGGATCTCTTTTAGAAGACCAATAAGGTGTAATTTATTAAATGCTTCTTATGTGACTTGTATACCATTGCCTCTAGTTCTCACAACAGCCCAGTGATTCTGTTTACCTCCTTTTACAAAGAAACTCAAAGTCCTTCAGAAGTTGCAGGGCCAAGATGGGGAGCCAGGCCTGTGGGATTGGAAAAGTTAATGTTAATGGAGCCTGTTATTAGAAAAGTATTGATTGTGCTTGAAGAAAAATCTGGACCAACTCTTAGAGGCCTTGGGAACCCCTCTGCCCAGAGGTCTCAGAGTACAGCAGAGTCTGGCCTGCCCATTAGGTATAACCAACTCTGCCCAGAAAAGGAAAGGCAGTCCGTGATTCCTCCATTGGCTTGTTCTGTGCCACTGTTTGCTCTCTGGGAATAGTTTCTGGAATACTTGGTATTGAGGAACATACCAGTTTGGACTGCATTTTCTACCTATCTATTCTACAGACCCAGGACATCTGAGATAGTGTCTTAGTTCGTTTTCATGCTGCTGATAAAGTCATACTCGAAACTAGGAACAAAAAGGTTTAACTGGACCTACAGTTCCATATGGCAGGGGAGGCCTCAGAATCATAGCAGGAGGCGAAAGGCACTTCTTACATGGTGGCGGCAAGAGAAAATGAGGAAGAAGCAAAAGCAGAACCCCCTGATAAACCCATCAGATCTCGTGAGACTTATTCACTATCACGAGAATAGCATGGGAAAGACCAGCCTCCATGATTCCATTACCTTCTCCTAGGTCCCTCCCACAACATGTGAAAATTCTGGGAGATAAAGTTCAGTTGAGATTTGAACAGGGACACAGCCAAATCATATCATTCCACCCCTGGCCCCTCCAAGTCTTATGTCCTCACAGTTCAAAACCAATTATGCCTTCCCAACAGTCCCCCAAAGTCTGAACTCATTTCAGCATTAATCTGAAAGTCCAGTCCAAAGTCTCATCTGAGACAAGGCAAGTCCTTTCTGCCTATGAGCCTGTAAAATCAAAAGCAGGCTAGTTACTTCCTAGATACAATGGGGATACAGGTATTGGGTAAATACAGTTGTTTCAAATGGGAGTAATTGGCCAAAACAAAGGGTTTACAGGACCCATGCAAGTCTGAAATCCAGCAGGGCAGTCAAATTTTAAAGCTCCAAAATGATCTCTTTTGACTCCAGGTCTCATATCCAGGTCATCCTGATGCAAAAGGTGGGTTCCCATGGTCTTTGGTAGCTCTGCCCCTGTGGCTTTGCAGGGTACAGCCTCCCTCCCAGCTGCTTTCATGGCTAGCGTTGAATGTCTGTGGCTTTTCCAGGCTCACAGTACAAGCTGACAGTGGATCTACCATTCTGGGGTCTGGAGGATGGTGGCCCTCTTCTCACAGCTCCACTAGGCAGTGCCCCAGTAGAGACTCTGTATGGGGGCTCCCACCCTACATTTCCTTTCTGCATGGCCCTAGCAGAGATTCTCCATGAAGACCTCACCCCTGCAGCAGATTTTGCCTGGGCATCCAGACTTTTCTCTACATCCTCTGAAATCTAGGCGGAGGTTCCCAAACCTCAATTCTTGACTTCTGTGTACCCACAAGCTCAACACCACGTGGAAGCTGCCAAGACTGGAGGCTTCCACCCTCTGAAGCCACAGCCTGAGTTGCACATTGGCCCCTTTCAGCCATGGCTGGAGCAGCTGGGACACAGAGTACCAAGTCCCTAGGCTGCATACAGCATGGGTTCCTGGGGCCCAGCCCTCAAAACCCCTTTTTC